TAAAAAGAGGGAGCAGGAGTGGGGAGGGCAGTGGAGAGCAAGCCCAGATTCAACAGCCCTGGGCAAGAAAAACTTTTTCCATGCTGAATGCAATCCTTTCTCCTACCCAGGGATCAGCCTGGAGGATTCCAGACCGCACATCTGCATAAGGAGCGATGATGCACTCTTCCCCACTTTGGTGTCAAAAGGAGAAGTGTGTACATTGGCAGCCCGGTTCGTAAAATGATGCTTTTCGGTGTTCGAGACTCCTTTCCCAGCTGGGGAACATGCTCAAGGAGGGGATCCCAGGATGGCCAGTAGCTGCCTTCGGGGACGGTGTAGAGACGAAGCTCGTGGTTTCAGAAAGGGAGGGAGATGGGAGTTAGAAGGGAAGGAAGAGAACGAGGAAGAACGAGGGAATGGGAGAAGAACAGAGGAAGAGGAAGTGGGAAAGAGGGAAGGAAGGGAAGAAGCAAAAGGAAGGTCTGAAAGGGCAAGGGAAAGAGGAAAGAAAGAGGAAGAGTAGCAGAAGGAGGGGAAGAAAGAAAGGGAGAATAAAGAAGAGGAAGAAAAGGAAGAAGAAAGGCAAAGGAAGGAAGGAAAGTGGGTGGGGGGGAAGAGGACTGGAAATAGAAGAAATGCGAGAGAAAGGAGGGAAAGGAAGGATAGTGGGGGAAAGAAAAAGAGGAAGGAAAGAAAAAAGGAAGGGGGAAATAGGAAAAGGGAGAGGAAGAGGAAGGAAGGAAGGAGAGGAGAAAAGGAGAAAGAAAAGAGGAAAGGGAAAATCAGAGGGAGTAGGGAGAGAAGGAAGGATGGTTTTAGGGATGGAGGGAGCACTGGCCAACTCAGGGAGAGGGATTTGGGAATGTTGCGCGAAAGACTCATTTGATGCGGCAGCTGTGAATACCAGAATAACTGAGTTGGAAGGGACCTTGGAGGTCTTCTAGTCTAACCCCCTGCTCAAGCAGGAGACCCTATATCATTTCAGACAAATGGTAGTCCCATCTCGTGCAGTGTTGGAGCATTCACAACTTCTGGAGGCAAGTTGTCCTGCTAGTTCATTGTTCTCCCTGTTAGGAAATTTCTCCTGAATTCTAACTTGCTTCCCTCCTTGATCGGTTTCCACCCATTCTCTCTTGTCCTGCCTTCAGGTGCTTGGGAAAATAGCTTGACCCCTTTCCTCTTCTTTGGGGCAGCCCCTCCAATACTGGAAAACTGCTATCATG